AAATGACTTTACGCACTGAACTTAGTGGTAGATGTATTAGACTGGTTCCCACTGATTATAGATGTTTAGATACTATTTAATTACAATACAAGTCTCAGACCTTCTTCCTTTCTGCATCCCCACAGGTGGCTACTACCTTACAACTCTATACGCCTCTCTTTACTACATCAGCAGCTTCCAGCCACGATTGGCCGCTCGTCAGCTCAGTGTCGAAGCCCAACACTCTCTTAACCAATGGCATCGCAGGCGCACCCTGCACTGCAACCAATCGCGTCGCAGCAAGCACAGACGGACCATTCGCAGGCAGCCGTGTCGGGACAGGGGTTTGCAGAACTCTGAGACAGGAACTGGGAGTAAAGAGGAAAGTGTGAAAGAATCTGATTCTGTTAATATTGATGAGTCACAGCAGCAGACAGAAAGCACCACAGAGGCTCCTCAGCTGCTGAAGGAAGAGACCAGCGGAGGACAAGGAGCTGAGGACGAATCACAGACATCCACTCCAGCACCAGACTGTAATCAGCAAGACGTAATAAGGAGCAAACAGGAAGAGAGACAGACTCTATGTGCAGCACGAGAAGAGGACCACAGGGGGTTGCAATGGAGAGAAGAAGAACTGACCTGAGAGGCAAGGAGTGACCACCTATCAGCCACACATTTTTAGACCATTTAGACAGTCATATTACCGAAGAATGCTCAAACCGTCCCATAAGCTGCCACATAAACCAACAGCATGTCCCGTCTCGCTCAGTTTCCTCCTCCATAGAGGCCAAAGCTTTTCATTTGTGTCATTAACATACTGTAGTTGTGGTACTATACTGAGGCCTGAGTTAGTCGTTTCCAACCTGGAGGGTGTGACTCCTCCAAGGGTCCTAAGATAAATGTTAAGGAACTGTTTCTTTACTTCAAACCTGGTACAAGTCAAGTCTCCTCCATTTGAATCGGTCATGAGCCAAAAAGGTTTGAAAACACTGGCTTAAGTTAGTGCAGATTAAATGTCATAGTTATATTGTAAAGAAGAGACATGTTTATACAAATATTGACATTTGTTCATTTGTATCAATGGACTTATACTTTGTCTTACATCTGATAATTGATCACATTGATCAATTAATAATATATTGCCAGTCACCAGGCATCTATCCACCTTTTCCTCAGAAATGTGGTAAACATAAGCAAGCTTACAGTAGATGTTATTTGATGCAGGAGATCTGTCACCTTATAAAGATAGTTCATTTATTGTGGCTATTCAATTTTGTATGAGATGGAATTCTTTAACTTGATTAATTTAAACGTATGTCTTTTTTTATCTATTAATATTAAAGTAACAATGTGTTTAAAGAGTAAATTAATAAAACAGTTTTGCTCATACGGCTGGCTTCTGCTCTTATCAATACCAACGTGTCTCTTGTGTATTACTATTGCAGAGGGTAATTTAACACAACACGCTGTGCTGTTAAATAAGCAGACAAAGTCAACAGGTTCACCTTCACCTTCGCTCTCATCAACCCCCGAAAAAGCTTCACGGCTCAGACAAACAGACACAGCATCCAGCTGGTGAACATAGTGGAGCATTTAGCAGCTGAAGAGCCAGATTTTTCCCTCAGGAGTTGGTAGGGACCAAGACATAGCTAAAAGGAGAGGGAATATTGGAATTACATTAATCAGATGGACAGTAACACGTCTGAATGATAATGCTGCTCTGAGTCTGCCAGATGTGCAGTTGTTTGCTAACGTATTACTCATAAAACATTAATTATGAGATAGGTGTGTCTCCTCTGCTAGATGTGGACTTCTGCCCCCAAAGTAGCCAAAAAAAATCAATAAAGGGAGCTTTAAATTATCATCACCTTCTTTGCCTGATGTCATAGTACCCATAAAATGCTATAAAACCTTTTACTGATAGGGCATGTCCTTGGTGTTGTTTCTGTTATTCCCTAACTCAGTGAAGCTTCTCTTCTTATTCACCAAGACTGAATATAATGCTGCTGAACTAAACCTTGAGTATTTGCTTTTTATTTATTGGACTGTTCCTCCTTTGTAAGTTTATTTATGAAGCAAAAGTTCATCAGGACTTTACAAAGTCACTTACTGCCTCACAAGAAACTACAGAACACATAAATATCTGTATTCCCTTTGGACCACTAGATGGCAGCATTAAACCTCCTGTGAGATGTACAGCTTATATCCTCTTTTATTTACAATTTGCACAGGTTGGATTTTTAAATGATGGAGTAAGGTAGTGCTGTTTTTACTGTGGAATATGTTAAACAAACAAAAAATAATACAATCTGGATTGTTTTTTTTTCAAAAATGCTGAGAAACAATGTCACAGTGAGACAGGTCAACAAGCAGTTGAGGTTGAAGCACTTAAAAGCTCCTCAAGTCAGCACTGATACAGTTTGAAATGACAGATGAAGTGAAAGAGGACAGAAGTAAAGATTTTAAAAGTCCCGTGTGTAGGTTTTAATGGCACAGTAGTAGTTGCAGATTGCAACTCACTCACTTCACCCTCCCTTTCCAAGTGTGAGAGAAAAGTGGAGATACTACAGTGGCCACGAAATACACGAAAAACACAAACGGACCTATCTAGAGCCAGTGTTTGGTTTGTCTGTTGTCTTGTTATTTTCAGGTGATTATACACTACTGAAAACAAGCCTATGAATATTATATTTGATTTATGCCAATCCTCCTAAATGTTACAGACTGGACCTTTAAAGGTGTTGTAGTGAGCTGAAGTTAAAGAAAGTTAAATCACTTTAAGTATTTGAGCATTAAGAGTAGTAGCTAATGTTCAAACACGTACTGTAAAGGAGCTACATGTTTATTATTTTACTTCTCTATTTAAATGTATTGTAACATTTTGTCTATTATTAAATTGTCTGATCTTTTCTTTGTTCCTTTTCTTTTTAAAAAGCACTTTGAGCTGAATTTCTTGTAGGTAAGGTGCTGTATAAATCACAGTTGAGGTTTGAGGTTTTGTAATTAAATAATTAAAGTAATTAAATAATTGAAGTGTCAGTGAAAGCAACGGAAGGAGTTAAACAAGCCGAAGACACTGAAGCAGTAGACTGAAGTTCCAGATAAAGATAAAATGCTTAAACAAATTTAACAAAGAGGTGAATTTAAAAAAAGCATTTACTAGAACAGTCGACATACAATTTTAAGTTGCAGTTCAAGTGTAAGTATTAAGGATGGGCATTTAAAGGGCCATTTAAAGTCCATCCATATGACTATAAATACATAAAGTAAATATATAAAGTATATAAATGTAGGAATAAGGTCTTAAATGAACACCCATACCCAAGCGGAAATGCAGATGGAGTCAGGTCATCAAATGCAGATGCGAGCGGTGTTCGGTTAGTCTGAAACTTCACCAGTTGATGCCATTAAATCCTACACAGTGGACCTTTAGGCAGCTGTAGACGTTAAAAAATTAATTGAAGCAGCAGTTGAAGTGTTTATAGGAAATAAAGCAGCAACAACTTCCCATTTCCTCTATTTTACCTGATAAGTAATTTTCTTGTAATTTCCAGTACAGCTCCCTACTATATTGATTTTATATACTTATTGTGGATATTGTGGAACAGTTAATGAATGCACATACACCAGGCGTGTACACATGTAAATAGTTATACGGGCCTCTTATGTAAATGTACACACACACACACACACACACACACACAGAGCTTCATGTACACACACATATGGAACCGTATCATCTCTGCATTCTAAATGACCGAGCCAATCAAATTTGCCTAATGAGACATCTGGCATTCTGCCTTCATGTGGATGTCAAGCCCAGAAACAGCTGGGCCTTTACACACACACACACACACATTCCCTTTCTCTTTTCACACTTTATCAGTGCTGTCAGATCTGGTGGAAGACCGAGAAAGAAACACAGAGATACATACTGGATCACACATTTATTGTGTCACACACATACACACTCAGAGCAAAATTTAGGGAAGCATTGAGGAAGGAGTTGTGGTCAAGACTATACTGGCCGATACATAGTGTCACACACTCGTTCTCTCACACACAGTTCTTTCACACATGTGATATATTATGCATACATGAGTGTGTGTAACGCACTCACCACGGCCATAAATTAGATATATGGCAGCGGTGGCGGCAGTGGAGGAGGGGGTCCATGGAGAAGAGAAGAGGAGTGTGTGTATTTGTGTGTATGTG